GTTCAGACCCAACTGTACTAACCGCATCAGCTAAACTCTCTCACTCTATTTTTTTCTTTTGTTGTTAATTCCGGAGAACAAATTTGCAAATAACACCGATTTTCTCCGGTCTACCTCCGAAAGCAGCACCTCCAATTCACATTCTGTTCAAAGTTTCTCTTTTTGCTTGCTTTTGCCTTTGCTTTTTCGTTGGGTTTTGCCAAAGTAGAGACATTAGCATATTCATAGGGGGAGGAGGCAGGGAGGGGTTTTGCACTCGTGCATGTTGCGCTTAGTTTCACGTTCATTCGGATGTACAAAGAATATGCGAGGGATTCGGCGTACGCAGTGTTTCATACATCAGAATTTTTTTCTGCGTACGCACATTTACAGCTTTGTGCGTAAGCAATGTTTTAGTATGATTTCCACGCAAGTCTTCGTACATGAGACCCCAGGCCTGGATTTTCTAATCAGGAGGACCGGGAGAATTCCCGGTGGGCTGGTCCATCCAGAATCTGTTGCTTTCAGCAGTCACACTTTTTAAATTAATTTATTTATTTACATGACTACAGCCTCCTTATTCATTATTTTACCGCAGCTCTACGCAGCCTCGTGAGCAGGATGCAGCCTGCAGGTTAATGATGGTACAACTCAGATGAGTCACCATTCATTGTACACCTGTTGTGGTACAGTGGATAGCACGTTAGACCGGGTTCGATTCTCGTCTGAGTAATTTTTTTTTTTTTTTCATTTTTATTGTTAAGACATATAATACTGTTAGGGTTGTTGAACATTTGAAGTTCCAAAGCAGCTGTTTTCTCAAAAAAAGACATGATAGTGTAATTAGAAGCTGAATTGGAAATGACCTTATTTTAATATAGTCAGTTGTAAACTGAGGTAGGCCGGTCTGAGGCTTAAAACTCCAGGGCTGAAAAGGAGTCCCACCCTGGCCCTGAACCAGTCTGATAGCTGCAAGTATTGACTCTACAAGTAGTGATGCTACTAGCTTAACTACATTTCTCAGTAGCGGGTCGGTAGCATTGCTACTTTATAAATCAAAAAGCTTTTCAGTAGCGAAGCTATTTTATTAGTGAAGTTACACTGTAAAAATATCAGTAATAAGTGAACCCATGGCTAAGGGCCTTACCTGGGCTAGCTCTGTTTAGATTTGGTGTGGGCTGGCTGTAGTCCACTGTGCCCACAATAAGCCAGCATGGGCTCTGCAGCATGTTTGCTGGAAAATCAATCACATAAGCACACAGACGCTTCTACAAACATTTATTAAACAACGAGCCGCTCTTATGAGCTCCGTGAATTTAAGCATAGTACTGAGATCAGCTTCCACCTGTGTAATACGTCCATTTTCCTCACTACTAAATATTCTAAGGTCATCAGTTAGTGGCATTATAATAAAGTGAAACCAAGTGGGAATAACAGTAACTCAACCCTATGCATGCTAGGATGCACAGCTAGTGTGCCAAAGTAGCCAACTTTCTGCATGCAATAGCTGCAAACCTCCAAACCTTGTGTGGCCTCTATGTTAGCTCAGGAACTAACATGGAGAGCTTCATAAATGGGTTTCAGAAGCTGATTAGCTGCATCCCGACCTTTTATCACCAAGTTCAATGTAAAGCATGGGATGCTGTGACTACCAAGACTCTAGAGCAGATGAGTTCTCTGTAGTGATGAATCACTCTTCTCTGACTGGCAGTCTTATTGAGGAGTCTGGGTTTGGCTGTTGTCAGGAGAACAGTACTTGCCTGACTGCATTGTGCCAAGTGTAAAGTTAGGTGGATCATGGTATGGGGTTGTTTTTCAGAATTTGGGCTTGGCCTCTTAGTTCCAGTGAAAGGAACTGTTAATGCTTTAGCATACCATTTTTGGAAGTTTTAATGCTCACAACTTGAAAGGACAATCAGGGAATGACCTTTTCATGTTCCAACATGCATCAGGGCATACACATCTATAAGGGCATGGTGTGGAGGAACTGGACTGGACTGCACCTTCTGACCTCAACCTGATAGCACACCTTTAGAACAAATTAGTACAGAGGCTAAGCCAGGCCATCTCAACCAACATCCTGAGCTTCTAGAAGAATTATCAAGAATGGTTAATTCTTATAAACACACTCCTAAACCATGTAGAAAGCCTTTCCAGGAAAGTTAAAGCTGTAATAGTTGCAATGGCGGGCCATGCCATATTAAAAGTTGTTATGGTATTATAAAGAAGTTCATGTTTATGTAAAGGCAGCTGTCCCAAATGTTTATTATTTTAATGTATTACTACTATTCATTTTACCAATAGATGGTGATGCAAGCTGCACATCAGCTGTAGAAATAGACATGGATGAGATCAGAGCTCTCTTATAATAAACAAACAAACAAACAAACAGTTACTGGTTACAAGGCACATAGTATTTATTCATGTTAAATATGTACCTTAGTGTCTGAAAAGTATTTCAGATTGCATATTCCAACACACCTCTTTAATACAAGGTTACCACATTCAAACTGCACTCATACACGAATACAAAACTAAATGAATAAGGGTAACACTTTACAATAAGGTTCATTAGTTAATGCATTTGCTAACATGAACTAATCATGAACAACACATGTACAGCATTTATTAATCATAATTGAACATTTACTAAAGCGTTATTAACATTCAAGTCCATGCTTGTTAACATTAGTTAATGCACCATGAGTTAACATGAACTAACAATGAACAACTGTATTTTCATTAACTAACGCTAACTAACATGAACAAATACAGTAGTAGATGTATTGTTCATGGTTTGTTCATGTTAGTAAATGCATTAATTAACATTAACTAATGAACCTTATTGTAAAGTGTGACCTGAATAGGATACTTAAAATTAAATATACCGAAAACAATATTTTTTTATTATCAGCCTAATTGGTAATAATAATCTATTATCAGTTCTGAAGTACAACATAACATGTTCAGCTCAGTTCGGTTCAGTACAGCTTACTTTTGGGAGATTTTCTACTGCGTTTCATACCTAGCACCTCATACTTTAATTAGTGCAACCTCAGGTGAGGCTCCAAGCCAGGCACGCCACCATCAAAATGTGATGTATATACACTGCTGATCACAGATTGTTCTGAGAGAATAGTCACAACTAGAGACTTTGGATTTGCAACAAGAAACCAAACCAAAATATCTAAAGTTGCCATAGTATGAAAATCTGGATATACCTAGGCATCGCTGATTAATACAACATAACATACAGTAGGAGGTTGTACATTGAGTTATTCAGTTTAATTAAAAAGCTTCATTTTTCATGGCCACCTTTATCATTTTATTTTATTTTTTATATCCCAGTTTTGTAAATACATTTTTTCCTTACATAATTTGGTTTTAGTGAAGTTGATTTATAAACTAATTTTGAGAGGATCACATGCTTATGAATGATCACGGCTAATCCCACATTAGCCAATTCATGATTCACCAATCAGACGATTTCTAAGTCACTATAAATGACCAAAGTTCCATAACACAGTCATCTTCATTTAGATTAATCCCCCTTCCAGCCCTACTTCCCCATTCTTTCCTAGATTGGGCATCCCAGTGGTTAGCACTGTTGCCCCACAGCAAGAACGTCACTGGTTCTAGTCCTTACCAGGCCAGTCAACGTTTATGCGCGGAGTTTACATTTTATTTATTTATTTCCTTTATTTAGCCAGGAGATCACATTGAACCAGTACTGTCTCTTCTTCCAGTGAGACCTGGTACATGTTCTCCCCGTGCTCGTGTGCTTGCCACCATCGGAAAAAACATGCACTAAATTTGATTGACTAATCTAAATCAGCACCGTAGTTGTACTGGTAAGTAGTTATCACTTCATAGCAATCCCTAATTGGTCATTAGCTATGTTACATATTGAGTAAAATTATTTCAACAATGCTAGTGTGTATTGTTCCTGTGTGTGTTGTATCGTTTATGATCTGTCTCTTTCTCTCTCTCCACATGAGAGGAGATTAGGTGCAGCTGTGAGAGGGGCGGCGCCAGTTATAAAAGCACGCTGTTAGCACTGCTTATCGAGTTCTCTTCCTGTTTCCCCTCAGTGTTGCGCGTGTGAGCAGATCGCTCTGAGATCTCCGTGTGGCAGTGATATTTTTCTGTCAGAAACTTTTTTCAATAATACGACGATAACTTGCATTAGCAGTGGCTGGTCGTTTATTTACTGTCTACAACCCTGTTTCAAAGTCATCTGGTGAGATACTCTGTTAAATACGGTACTAGGACGGTATTGTGTGTTAGCTGTGGCTAAATGTTTACTTACTGCTGAATGATCAAAGGGAAGGCCCTTTTTCTTTTGTCGCGTTTTCTCCTGTTTAATGCATAGTTATAGAGGGTAGAATTGTATGTTTCATTTACGGAACTTTATTTTCGGTTTAGGTAAGAAATTTTATATTAGGTAGCGTACCTTGTTTTGTTTGTTGTTTTGGCCTTTTTGTTCCCTGGTTTTGATACTGATATATTTGTTTAATAAATCTGTTACCTCTTTTGACAACTTGGCCTGTGTGTTTGTGCTTGGAGAGCAGGAACGGGGACTCCGGGTGACCTCTTTTAATAGCAGTCATCCTTAACCTTATGTGCGTAGCGAGGTGCATCGGCAACGTAACAAGCTACAAAAAGCCAAATCTACCTGAGCTCAAACTCCCCTTTAGCCCTGCAAACGGGAGGGAGCCCCAGGCTCGAGGATCTCATGAGCTCAGGTCTCCTCTCTCCCGGGACAGCATGCCGAACAACACACTTTATAACCAATCATCTGTAAACTGTGAACTCTTGAAAGCAGATTACTTAAAGTTGTAACCAAAACCAGGGCTCCTTTTTCATTGTCCACCATTTTTGTGTGTAGTTTAGACATTTTACCAAAAAAAAAGAAAAAGAAAAACATTATCAAGATTGTGCTTTTATACACTCGTTCTACTATGTTTACAGTTGTAAAATGTAGTCTGAAACTATAAATCATGCACACACACACATGAAAAAATACACTTCGGTTTTTTATTGCCATGTAACACAATATCAGTGCCCAAAAAGGTGTGATACAGTGAATTCTGAGGCTTCAATTTATTGTGAGCCTAAACAGTGTCTTAACTTTGTTCTAATGTAAAAATACAACTTTTTCTCGACCTCACCTTCATTTAAATTAACAATTTTTTACATAATTCTTTACATTACCTTTTTTTACACAACTCATACATATTCTACAAAAGTGGTGACCAGGCATTGTGTCTTGTACTGAGTGGAATATTTCATTTACAGTATATTACTTGGGAAAACATGAAAACTAAGACCATGAGAACTGTAGACCAGGAACTAGCACACTTCATCACGCCGCTCTGAAGATCTCCAACGCATACAAGGCTTTCTCCACATACAAAAAAAAATATGATCATATTTCTGTTCACTTGGTTGACAGACACAAACGAACACAAGATAGTGAAAAAGCATGTTGAGTTCAATGGAAAATGCAACAAATAGTTCCTGTATCCAATTGTGTACAGTTTAATAAAAGCAAAACCACAACATTAACTTCATTACGGCATCCCTGATTCTGCCAGAACACAATCACATGTTACGCTCTTTACAATTAGGTGAAATGGTGTCTGTGACATTGAAATTGCACAACATGCAGTACATATAGGTGTATGTGCACGGTGTACCATCAAATGAGTTCTTGAATTAAAGCACAGTGAAAATAAAGCACAGCATAACTTCTATTCGCTCAACAAGTCTGTATAATGTCCACCAGCAGTCACCATAAATACAGCTCATTTTTACAGTGTTTAAACTGCAGGTACAGTACATAACCTCACATAATGTACTCTGCATTTATTAGAAAAAGGGATTTTAATGCCCCGAAAAGTGCTATTATGAACAAAGTGTTTGTCACGAAGCGGAACGCACTACTAACATCGATGCTTGGTCGGCAGAAAGCAAAAACAGAGGCCACATAGTGCATTTTCCTGTGGTGTTGCAACAAAATAACTTCATTACAATAAAAAAAAACAGTGATTTCAAGACTGATGGTGACAAAGTTTCAACAAAAGATGTTAAAAGTGAACAAATATACAGCTATTGTCTTCTGGGCAGTGTTTAGAACACCCTATGATGGAAAAAAAATGTGTGTTTGACTTTGTAATGAATTCCATGCTTTGAGTTCCCAGTGCCACATTCATTCGACAGGAATTCTCCACCTACTTGATAAGTCACCGAACTGATATGGCTTTCGGAAAGTTTAGCTGCACGGCAAAACGATGCACAAAATGGCTCCTTTAATTGTCTCACGGGGGACTGTTATGCGGGTCTGCTCTTTCTTTTCGGACAGAATCCACCAATCCTCTTGCGACTACTTTGTAAAGGCCCAAGCTTCTGAGCTTTTCCACTAGATTGACACTAAAAATGTTCCCCATATGTTCGCTCCCATTAAAGCCCTGTTGTTTTTCCCGATGGAGAGGAGAGGTGGAGCTGGGGTTTGTTGTGGCTGAAATGCCGTGTTCTGACACCAGTTGGAGCAGGCCGAGGGTGGGGGGTTGATAGAGGTGTGATGTGGATGCTGATGGTGTCCTTATGTACTCACAGCTCCCACAAGCGGACACACTGCGGGCCCGAACGCTAAAGAGAAAGCATAACAGATCAATGTCAGACGCTGAATTGGACGTTTTAGTTAGCCACACCAAACCACACCAAAGATGGAGCAGAAAATGAGTGTTAGTAGAAGCTTTTTCAGGTAGAACTCCATGAGGTACAATTTCCACAAGTTAAGTTTGACGTCATGCGAAGCAGCTTTGGGATCCAAGTGCTCTATCAAACTCTATACGGAGTCTCAACAAATGGTAATAATTAACTTTTACAAAGCACTGTAATGCTTTCGAAAATCATGACAGCAATATACAATTGAAGTCAGAATTATTAGCCCCCTTTTGATTTTTTTTTTTCTTTTTTTTAGTATTTCCCAAATGATGTTTAACAGAGCAAGGAAAATTTCACAGTACATCTGATAATAATTTTTCCTCTGGAGAAAGTCTTATTTGTTTTATTAATTATTTATTACTTTATTAATTGTTTTTAATTTTTTAAAAACCATTTTTGGGACAAAATTATTAGCCCGTTTAAGCTATTTTTTTTCCGATCGTCTACAGAACAAACCATCATTATACAATAACTTGCCTAATTACCCTAACCTGCCTAGTTCACTTTATTAACCTAGTTAAGCCTTTAAATGTCACTTTAAGCTGTATAGAAGTGTCTTGAAAAATATCAAGTAAAATATTATTTACTGTCATCATGGCAAAGATAAAATAAATCAGTTATTAGAAATAGGTTTCTAAAACTATTATGCTTAGAAATGTGCTGAAACAATCTTCCCTCCATTAAACAGAAATTGGGGGAAAAAATAAACAGGGGTGCTAATAAGTCAGGGAGGTTAATAATTCTGACATCAACTGTATACAGCCATGCCTAATATCATGGTCAGAAAGTAATTTATTTTTTATAAATTGTTTAAATACTGAAGTCCAGAGGCTGTTGTGTACACCATGATGTTATTTTAAAAATCACTTCAATGTGTTACAGGACTAAAAAGTGGTCCAAAACGAATATCTTCTCAATTCAACCGAGTAGCACCTTGGAACCGGAAACAGTATTCCAGACGTCAGGACTTAACAAGCAGATAGCTGCTTTTCCACTGGATGGAACGGCTCAGCTCGGCTCAGTTAGGTTTAGTACAGCTTACTTTTGGAGGCTTTTCCACTGTGTTTTGAACATAACAACTTTTACTCAGGTGAGGCTCCAAACCAGGCATGCCACTACCAAAACATGATGTATATACACTGCTGATCACAGATTGGTCTGAGATAATAGTCAAAACCAGCATCTTCAGATTTGCAACAAGACACCAATTAAAAATATCTAAAAGTGCCATAGTATGAAAATCTGGATTTTACCTAGGCATCCCTGAATAATAAGAGTTCAATTCATGGAAATTACATACCATGTGCCTCAAACACCATTGTTTTCTTGTTCTCAAGCAAATCCTTTGAGTGCAAAATACCAGTTAAAATTTGTCCAATTGGAACAAAACTGTTGCATTGCACATAGAATCATTATTATGCACGCTCCAGGCTGTGTCTGATTGTTCACAATGTTTGCTAGTGAGATTGCAACAATCAGAATCTTTTCCTTATCTTTAAATTTATCTAAGCATACATCAGATTTACTATGTATGCGGGACTCTTATTTTGAAAAGAAAATAGGAGACTAAAGCCTGCTGCACTGTGCCACGTCTTAACATTGTTTTCTATAATTTACAAACACAGAGATAGCTGTTAAATGGCTGCGCCAGTACTCTTATAGATTATTATTTATTTTTTAAAGAAATGCGTTGAGAGTTCAGGTCCATTGATTTACATTACATTTACATCATTTGGCATTTGGCAGACGGTCTAAAACAACTTACAATTGAGGAGAAAAGAGACAGTACCCACAGGAAGGGCTGATAAGTTCAGATGTGGAATGGCCTTCAAGGTTTATACAGTTTCTTTATATCTAGACATACTTGAAAAGCGCTATCTATATAGTTTACTTAGCTAACTATCTGTTAACAGTACATCTAAATGCAAAATGCAGGATATACGGATTATACATTTATTCAGAGCCACCCAGAAGCATAAAGTCTGTTTCATTTGTTAGGTAATGTGTATATTGAGAAATATGCTGTGCATGTTTGTGATGAAGCAACAGACACATATAAACTGCTGAATATAAATGTTTAATGCATCATGTCATATCTCTTAGCTCATATTGTGAAAGGAGGCCAATGATCTTAAAAATATCATCTGTTTATGAGGGGGTTGATAATAATTCCTGCCTCATTTTTTATATAGTTTATCCACAACACAACTCTGGAACAAAACTGTGGTACTCTTTCTAGAGAGCAGGTATTGACATAAGCCATAGAGCAACAGGGCAGAGCTTATTAATATCCAAATACGGTCAAACTAGAGCTTTCATTCTAGAGGTAAATCCTTTGGTTATGAACGAGTATATCAAATCTGGAAAAATGTTTTAACTTAAGCCGCATAACTACTATGTAAATATCAAAGAAAAGTTATTGAACTAATGCACTTTACAGCATCTTTAATTACTCAGCAGCAGCAGACATTGCTTTATTGTTGGTTAGCACAATTCAACTTTCTTTTTTTTTACCACAGCAACAATAAGACACCTGAAATGGCAGCTTTCAGGATATCACAGCAGTAGAGGCGGCGCAATACTATCAATAACCCCACCTACTTTAAGCAGCACTAAACTGCAGTGGAAATTCAAACTGAGCTGAGCAAAACCAAACCAAAGTGAACTGGGCAGTACTATACAGCACAGTGGAAAAGCAGCTTATGTGATCATGCTTATGAATAACTGAACGTGAAGAAGATGAGACTTGAAGCTGGTCAACAAGTTCAATTGTTTTTAAAGGAAAGCTTGAATGTAAACATTCACAATATAGTGTGTTAGTCATTTGATTCATTCTCAAAACAAAACATTTCAGTCACGATAAATGTTTAAATTTGTTTTAATTATATAAAATCGGAGGGGGGGGGGGGGGGTCATCCTATAACCTATAACACTTGATAATATAAAACTGTTATTTGTCATTTGACTTTTCTTCTTCATCTGGAAACTTAAATGAAATGTACAGTTGGCTAGCTATTTCATTAATATTTTGATGAATAGTTCACCATACTATAGATTTTTCCCCCAGGTGACATAAACATCAATATCATAAAGTTAAAACATGTATTAAAAACTAAATATTTCATTATAAACATTTTTTAAATAATATTTCTCCCTTTATTTTACGTCACGGGTGTTGAAAATGTAAAAAACTAGTAAAACAAACTAGTAGAGATATTGATTTAAAAAACAAAGTTTCATTTTTGTACTTTTCATTTTTAAATAATTACTAAACTTTTTTTAATTAGCTTAATTTTTTTAAGAGTAATGTTTGAATAATGTATGAGTATTATACGGTGTTATTTTCTTGTTTATATCATAAATAATAATATTATAAAATAGTTAACAATTGATTTTAGGATATAACTTTTACTTATATTATTGTGTAAATAATTAGCATTCATTTAACGATAATTTGACACTTAAAATACAATCGATGTTTTATTTACAAAATGAAAAAAAAATATTTATCTTAAAATTATTTCATGTTATTGTTTTAGAGAATGACTTCAGTGATGTTCCCCCATAGAAATATACATATATTCCAGCAGAAAGTCAGTTTGTTAAACAGCTGTGCAATAAGTGAGACATAACATCATTCATACCTAAACCTAGATCTCTACAGGAAAGAAGATTGAATTAGTTACAAAGCATCTCGGTGTTATGCTATGATGGTTTGCTTTCTCATGAATGAATCCTGAGGTTAGAAAAAAAGAAAGTTAGGAGATGGCATTCACATTCACAATTTTATGGATGTCCCTGGTAAAGATTTATAAAAGAATCATGCCTTTATTATGTCTTACTTTACAGAGGATGGATTTATAACTGAACAAAGAGCCGGTTCCAGCGCTTCCTGTTACAGATTGGAGGAGGGAAAATAAGAAAACTGAACTACTATAAATAAATATTTGTTTGTACATTTTTATGCAGATCTTTATGACATTCTGACATTTGACAAAAACACTTTTTACATATAAGCAGGGCTTGACATTAACTTTTTTGATCACCAGCCACTGTGGCTAGTAATTTTTCAGCGTTACTAGCCACTCCCCATTTTCACTAGCCACAATTCTTTTGTTGGGAAAATATATTTTATTTGCATAAATTTCACTTTGGCATTCTAAAATTGCTTGATTTAGTTTTTGAGTTATTTCCACATGCCTCCTCATTTATTACACATTTTTTGTGTGTGTTGTATATGAGCTTGCTCAACGAGCACGAGCAAATGGGTTGTGGTTTCATAGCGTTTCACTACAATTACATGACTTTTCAGGGCTCAAAATTAAGGGTTTACCTATTTTCTCTCGGGCCACACCAAAAATAAATAAATAACTAATTACTTCTCAGCTAAAAATTTTAACAAATTAAATAATAAAAACAATCAAAATATAGCTGTATACACGCATTTATTAATTAAAACCTTTTTTTTTCAATGACATTTTAAAAATAATGATTGTAAAATATCTAAATAAATGTTATTGTAAAGGATATTAATGAATCCTTAAAAAAATAACTAAGCAAAAGAAAGCAGGTGAAAAATACTATGCGTGACATTGTAGGTATAATCACTTGTACACAGTTAACTTTAGGCCATTTAATAATCTGTTCAAAGAAACATTAAAGCGAAAGCGGCAACCACTGCTGCTTAAGACATTTTTTAATAATAATAATAATTTTAATAATTCCTTACATTTATATAGTGCTTTTAGTGCTGGGCACTTAAAGCGCTTTACACATAGAAGAGAATCTCCTCATCTACCATGAGTGTGCAGCATCCACCTGCATGACGTGACGGCAGCCATTTTTGGGCCAGAATGCACACCACACTGATTGGTGGAGAGGAGACAGAGTGATGAAGCCAATTGTGATATGTGGAGGGTTAGAATGCCATGATGTGGCCTTCTGGCCAGTGTCCCAGTTTAACCAGGATACCGGGGTTAAACCCCTACTCTTTTTTTGAAGGACATCCTGAGATTTTTTAATGACCACAGAGTCAGGACCACGGTTAATTCGAAAGACGGCGCTCACTGAGCAGTATAGAGTCCCCGTCACAGACAGCAGGTTGGGCGCCCCCTGCAGGCCTTACTAACACCACTTCCGGCAGCAAGCTTTTCCATGTGGTCTCCCATCCAGGTACTGACCGGGCGCAGCCCTGCTTATCTTCAGTGGGTGACCATGTGAGAGCTGCAGAGAGCTAGCTGCCGGCTTAAAAAGAATCTGGAGCTCTTGAATCTGGGTGCACATTCCTTGTGCACTCACAGCAGAACTGTGGATGTACGAGCATCACCCTTTGTCCAGTCTATTTTAAATAAAAGCGATCACACAAGTTGCATTTGCAGGCATGGTTGCTTTGTGCAAGGAAATGAGAGCGTGCAAGCTTAATAAACACTCGAAGCTCGTCACCGAGTGAAGAAAGCCTGGGTCTCACCATGCACGTGATCATCCTCTCGGTATTCACTTGCTTCCTTTTGCTTGCGCGATCAGTTATTTTGTCAGTTATGCTGCTTCTCGATAAACTACAACTTAAAAACGACTTTCAACCAGCCAAAGTGGCTAGTAGGAGCAGCTCTTTAACCAGCCACAGCTGAAAGCTACCTGCATTTGGTGAGTTGGCTGGTGTTAATGTCAATGTCAAGCCTCCCAATGTTGACAGGTTTGTTAGGATATCAGAATATTGTCTTCCATGTAAACATACAGATTGAAATATTTTAACTCTTTATAGGCCACTTAAATATATTATATTGTAATTAATGTCAAGGAAGATAGTTCCTTTAATCAAACACTTTTTTTTTCATTTAAAAGTTGAATTTCTTGCCTGAAGACAACAAATACACTTTCAGAGCATCCAGGAAAAAAAAAAAAAAAAAAAAAAAAAGAATCGGTCATAAGTGTGACTGATGGGATTAAATGGGTTAAAAAGCAAAAAAGTTTGAGGTCCCACTTTACATTAGGGCCTTAAGTAATATGCACTCTAACTGAAATTAATAATTCGTTACAATGTTCTTATTGTGTAAATACAAGTTTTAACATTATATTCATGCTTGATTAAATACCTGCATGTAACTACATCTTTAACTAATTTCTGTAATTACAATAATAATTACATTATTGACCATACCTTACACCTTAACCCCCCCTTAAAACCACCCAGACCACTAAATAAGTCCCTAACCTTACCCATACCCCATCTCAAGAGCACCAGAAGAGTTTTGCAGTAAATTTATGAACACATTAAGTACATTGTATTCATCTATTTAATATAAAGTAGGACCAAGTTAAAACAAATAAATAAAAGTGAAAAAGTATCAATTTATGGCAATCCTGTCTTACCTGGTGGAGAAGGAGGAGAGGAGGGTGGAGGGATGGAGGATCTGACAGCTAGTGCTCGGGTGTGTGGGGGGAGGTTGAGGGATGTTGGGTCCAGATGAAGTGACTGTGTTATTTTGAGGAAACAAACACAAGCTAAAGCTCAGCAAAGCATGACAGTCACGTACATCACTACACTAAAGACAGGGGGGATAAAGACTACTTACACTACCAATAAAAAGTGGGAATAATCGACATTTGGTCACACTTTACAAGAAGTAATCATTAATATAAGTTCATGTGTTTACCAACATGAAACAAAAATGAACAATAATGTAGCCAGTGTTGAGGAAAGTTATTATTAATGGAGTAGCAATATTAATTGGGCAAAGAAATTTCTAAAAGATCATGTGACATTACTTGAGTATTACCTGTACAGTATGTTACAGTATATTACGGTAAAAGAGCTCTTTAAAATTGTAATAATATTTAAAAATATTACAATTTTAAACCAATAAATGGTACAATTAAAAAAAAAGACTTGACCAGTAAAGAGCATATATATACGGCAACGGAAAATACAAATAAAATCAACAGAGTTGACTGTATTCTCACCAACAGCGCCGTGCCTGAGGTTAGGGAATTGGGACAGATCAGGCTCGTCCTCTTCTAGGTCATTGAGGCTGTAGACCTGCTGTAAGTCCACATCCAGCTCTCTGAAGTCTTTGGTGAGGACCCCCGGTCGTGGGAGAAGGATTCCCCCCAGATTGGGCTTTGCAAGCTGCTGCCACTGGTGCAGAGTCGCTGAGCCTGAGGATAAAAAAGATGAAGGATGATCTACTAATTTATAATAATACTTGTAATACTTGATAATATCTATAAAATTAATAATAACAATAATGCAAAATATCTTTTATGATAATCACGTTTTACATTTTTATAGCAAAATTATTTTTGTATTTTCAGGGAGTCAGTTTAATGGCAGGTTCCTGATTGTATATGTTTGTTGTAAGATATACAGTGTCAACAAACAAATATTATTTTCACTATTTACAAATGCTGCAATATTTAGAAAAAAGATAGCTAGTTCACATTTTTGAAAAAAATAACATTTCATTGATTTTATAAAATGAATTAATCTATATTATTTTACAAATAATTACATGGCTGATTTATGTCCATCGAGCTAAAAATGTATTCTATACACACATTCTATACACATTCATTCATTTTATTTTCTTGACGGCTTAGTCCCTTTATTAACCCGGGGTCGCCACAGAAGAATAAACCGTCAACTTATCCAGCTAGTAATTACGCAGCGGATGCCTTTCTAGCCGCAACCCATCTCTGGGAAACATCCACACACACATTCAAACACACACTCATACACTATGGACAATTTAGCCTACCTAATTCACGCAAAACCCACGCAAATGGAGGGAGAATATGCAAACTTCACACAGAAACGCCAACTGAACCGAGGCTCGAAGCAGCGACCCAGCGACCTACTTACTGTAAGGCGACAGTACTAACTACTGCGCCACTGCTTCGCCCTACTTTATAGTTATTGTATACATACATTCTATACAATATATTTTTTAGTTGGTCAGTTTACAGATCACTAAAATAAAATACTATGTTAAAAAATTATATAAGGGTATAATAAATTAAAATACTTAAAATGCTAAAAAAATATATGTTATTGGTGTTAAAAATGAAATAAAAAAATTAATAAATAAATAAATAAATAAATAAATAAATAAATAAATAAAATAAAATATTAAATATTAAATGTTTGACTACCCAAACTTCTAAAATTCCAAACTTTTTGAGAAAGATGTTAGTCCAATATCTTCCTTAGATAAAATACTTTCCAAACAGAAATGATCAAAGCTGCATGCATTTTGTCAAAAAGATCTTAATATAAGATGAAGATAATTTTTAGGTAATTGTTTGTCTGACTGCTTATAATTTGAATTTTTTTGCCATTGACTGCACCATAATAACGCACTACTGCTCTTCGGTCATCATGTGTTTGTGCCCTGACATGCACACTTTTCTTTATCCCAATGAACTTTGCTTCTTGTCTAAATACTACCATATCCTAATAATGGCAAAAAAAAATTTTACTCACATGGCATGTACCAAAAAAAGGTTACAAAATATACCTTTATTATTATTATTATTATTATTATTATTATTATTATTATTATTATTATTATTATCATTTACCTTCAGATTCTTGTTTTATGTATTCTATTACATTTTTACACTTGTATTTAGATTTTGGTTTGATCTAGATGTTCCTCTTTCATGACATGAGTTCTATCTGTATGCGTGTGTATTCACTGACCCTCCAGTGGTTTGACGATCTGCAGTCGTTCGGGCAGATGTGAGCGAGAGGATCCTGTGCCAGAGGAATGTGTGGAGGTGCCAGAGTAGTTTGTTCCAGTAGAAGCCGTGCTGCTATTGGGTGTGAGGAAGCCGCTGGATCCACCATCGCTGCCGCTGCTTCCGCTGAGCAGAGCGCGGAGCTTTCGTTCCCTTTCCACCTCGAAGAACGGACGCTCAGATGTGTGGCTCTCCTGACGCTCCGAGAGAGACCGCAGCGCTTCTTCTAGATCCTGTCCACCAGGAGTACCAGGCTGACCCAAACGCTTGGACTCCAACAACCTATGCAGATTATGACTTCTTAATATAAAGTTCATGAATCTTTAAAAAAAAAGTTATTTTATTATTATTAAATGCATTTTTTATTTCACCAAAATAAGTCAAATCTATGGAGCCCCTAAAATGACTTGTAAAAAAAAGACTTTTACATGCACAGACAATACTATGTCATGTGCAAAGGATACACAATGCGTGCGCACAACATAGGCATACATATCATACGCACACAACATACGTGTCAGGTACACTTGACATAGACATACATATTGTGTCTGCATGACATAGGTATCGCGTGCACATGACCTAGACATACATATTGTGACCGCATGACATGAGTATCGAGTGCACATGACATAGACATAACATATCAGGCACGGACAACATCTTAATTGCGTGAACATGACATAGACTTACAAATCAGGCACACACAACACACGCATTGCATGCATATGATATAGAAAGATATTATGTACGCAAAACATACGTGTGTTCACGATAAAAGTCATTTTTTTGTTGTTGTTTTGGACGTCACCTTAGGGGCTCCATAGGAATCATACAGAATTCAATATATTTTTTAAGCCCTGACCTGAATAAGATTTGTCACATAAACATACAAAAGAGAAAATAAGGGTTGAATTTTGAAAGTTTCCATGCAATTGAGTCTTTCTTCTGTTTGTTTTTAGGGGTTAGTGACAATTGTTCATAAGTTACTTTGTCTTAAACAGTTAAACGGTTGCTGTTCTTCAAAATAACCCTTAAGGGGTAACCAATATTGTGGTGTTTCAGCATGCTTGTGTATTTAAACGCTTTTAAAAAATGACTACATTTTTGAGTTTCAACTTTTAAAGTTCACACACTCACCAAAGTTAAAGATTTTAGGGGTCACCAAACTTGTTCCTGGAGGGCCAGTGTCCTGCAAAGTATAGCTCCAACCCTAAACACTCTTGAACAAGCTAATCAAAGTCTTATTAGGTATACTTGAAAACTTCCAAGCGGGTGTGTTGAGGCAAGTTGAACTAAACTCTGCCGGGACACTGGCACTCCAGGACCAAGTTTGATGATTCCTGCTTCTGAGGGCTTCTAAAAATACATTAAGAGTCAGATAATGAATACAGAATCATATAATTTGAACAGAATGAAGATATTTTGTTATTTGTTATTAAGAAATGCCCTACAGAAGCTACAGAAGAATGTTCTGTAATTAAATCTACCCCAGTCTTTAAAAAATGGTTTTACTTCCCAGCTTAATGCAGCATTTTAAAATAACTAAAACATTTTTGCAGATTCTGTAAGCTCTATGTAAACGTTTGACCCTAACTTTGACTTTCGGCAGCCATATGCTTATTTAGTGCTCAAGAATGAATCGTTATCATTCCATGGATGTACACTAAATGGCTGGAGTATACCAATAGTGCACTGTGAGGGCCCTATCATACACCCAGTGCAATGCGGCGCAAGGCCCGACACAATTGTTGTTTGCTAGTTTCGGCTTGGCGCAAGAGTTGTTTTGACATTTTGCACCACGCGGTTTAAATAGCAAATGCATTTTCGCTCATATGTGCGCCCATAGGCGTTCTGGTCTAAAAAAGGAGGTGCGTTTATGCTCATTGTTGGCGCGTTGCTATTTTGAGGAACTAAAATAATCTGTTCAATAGGCCAGCTTAGAGGAGTTTTAAAGTCCAGCGCAGAGAGCGTTAGTTGTGCGCCTCGCTTGCACATTGCTTAATATACACAAGATGTACAGCAATACGCAAATATCTTGACAAATGCTTTACAAATGTTTAGAAATGGTTCAAATCTTTTTTAGTTTATTCATGACAGTTTGCTTTTGTATAATGTCATTAGTAATAGTAGCAGTAGTATTTATTAAGTGCATATGTTTATTTGTTTTATTAAAAACAAGCTTTGTCCACCTGTCAGGTTTTAGACCATATGGGGCACAGCATGTGTTTTTGGATATAACTTAGTTTTTTTAACACACTTCGTTATTATTGTTCATTTATTTGTTTGCTGGAAATTAGAACTGAATTTAGAAATAGTCTTTGCGCATATTAAACCAAATTAATTATGTTGGCTAATGGATGTCTGTGCGTACAACACGTTTCACTATCCACGAGAGTGAAAGTGAAAGTAAAGAATGAGGCGGCTCATCTCTCATTCTCGTGCTGTAGATAGTCTGTTTAACTGTTTTCCATTTCCAGTTTTTCCACTTACAAAGTCCACCATGTAAATAGCAAATGCGCTAATGGCGCGACGCAACTGACTCTTAAAGGGAATGGGAGATGAGACTCTGATTGGTTTATTCTCAAAACACACCTATAACTCATTAAAAGATAAGCTTAACCCTGTTAGACCATGCGCCGTGGTGCAGAGCGGATTTTCCCGTTCTTAAAATAGCAAAAGTGGATTCTGACGAGCCCATAATGCTTTTGCACCTTGCGCTTTGCACTTTGCGCC